GGGCTATGGATGACTGTTAAATCCTGCTATTCGGCCAGATAAGAGTTAACAATGGGTTCATGTGGGGCTATGGATGACTGTTAAATCCTGCTATTCGGCCAGATAAGAGTTAACAATGGGTTCATGTGCGGCTATGGATGACTGTTAAATCCTGCTATTCGGCCAGATAAGAGTTAACAATGGGTTCTGTTGATTAGCATTCTTCCTTCTAGTCTATCCGTTAAAAATAAAGACAACTAAAGCAGCCTTTTATGTGGTTCTGCAGAAAATTCTATGATAACGGTAAACGCTACCAAGCTGGTATTGTATGAATTTGTATCAATCATATATATATTTACCTAAAGAAATACCTTAATGTTCTAAGTATAAACGTAAGCCATATGAAACCAACCGAAGATGGGTTTGTTGAAAAGCTGTAATTACGAAGAGTTCCCTTTGTTCAAAGTCAAATGCCATTTCACCCTTAAGGATGATAGTTTCCTGTAAGGGGATTTTTATTCGATAAGGTAATGACCCTCAAAGACTAGAATCTTATTAAGTCATGATCTCCAGTCAAACACCAAAATCTGTACGTACATTTTTTGCAAAAACTGAGAAACAAGACTATATAGACTGATTCAGTTTTCATATAAACATTTCAAATTATTTGATATATTATTATTATCGCATTACTATGGTTTGTATTGCTAAAAAACGTTTTAAAAGAAATGTGATCCCGAGCCTGTTTTCGTAAATGGAGAAACTTTCTTGAGGAATTGGACAGGATTAAGTTTAGATATTTACGTTCTTCTTAGATACTCGCTCCATTCTCAGATAGTCCAAAATCAGAGCTATATCAGAGTATGTGACAAACATCAAATCAAAATATGGTAGGATTTTTAGACAAAGAGTGGTAAATCGTTTACAAAAAAGTCTAACAAATGTCAATATTCTTCAAAATAACGTGATGTAATATTAATACCCATATGTGTTTGTTCCAAAAAACAAACAGTCGTGCATATATAATACCGTTCAAGATGAAAATATTCCAGTTTCTTTAACTAGGAGTGATATTGTTTACAACACAATTATTATCGTTGTAAATATTTCCATTTCTGCTCACGTTTGTATAAATACTTTTAATCTTTCCATCGATATTCATGGTGTTTCATATGCCACATTTAAGATAATACTCCTGGTCTTGTTTTCAAATAAATATTCTGCTTTCGGAATTATTTTTTATTACTCCCTTTAACTGATTTACTTGTAAATTATACACTGCATAAACCTTAAACCTTGTTTAATTTCCTCTTTTAAGTCTTTCGAAGAAAGTCCTGTTTTAATTACTGTTAGAGCTCTTGTTCGTTAAGGTGCAGTATGTAAATATCTGACACATTATTTTTCCCACATTCATTTGAATAGAAAATTGCATTTTTCTTTTGTTACCTTCTCACGTGTTTACATAAACTTTACCTCAATTAATTAAAAGGGATATCAGTGATTGAAATCACGCATTAAACATTCTGATGCTTCCGTTTTGTTCATTCTATATGGATTTACTTAAGGATTCATGGTCTGCTTGTTCTGGCAAGTTATATAGTGTATACTGGTTTTTTGTGAAGACTTTTTCTAAGAATGATTAGTTGATTTGATCAAAGCGCGATTGTTGTACTGCGTAAACAGTTAGGGTAAAAGGTAACATTTTCTCCATAATATCACTCTCACTTAGTTGACTCATTGGTGATGCAAGATGTTCGAAAAAAAATTAAACAAACAAAATCACAAATATAAAGCTTAAATAGACAATACGCTCATTTCAGGCACAGAGCATGGTCTAGAGTTATAGTGCCGGGTCTGTGATTCCGAGGATTCGTGGTTTGCGGTCCGTTGCTACGAAAACACGATCTACGCTTTGGGGCTGCGAGTACATTATAATAAATGCCAGTCAAATCCCGCCATACCGTCAAACAAGAGTATCCCAAGCGTGTGTGCTTTCCAACTAGTCTATCAGTTTAAAATTTGGGACAGCAATGTTAAGATAGCCCTTTGTGCGCATGAAATCTGAAATAAACAAATATTATATAAGGAAAAATCTGATCCATGACTTACCTTTTTATACTTTTCCCAACCTATCCTACCATAGAGAAAGCTACAGAATCACCCTTTAAACCAAACGACTCTTAGATATCCGATAATTTATTGGAGTCATAAAGCTATATGACAAGTTATAATCAGAAACTCAGACACAGCTTTGATATGAAGAGTCATTTTCCTGATATATTTAGATAGAACAGATGTGCAAATACGACCGAGTTTTTGCACTACCCTCTCCAAACCGAAATAATTAATTTTTTTAATATCTTCAGATAAACATAAGATAGGGGAGCAAGACTGCTATTTTATTACATAGTCTTGCCAAAGTGGACGAATTAGTTTTACCGTTATCTTTAGGTATGTAAAGAAGAGTGCAGAAGCTGTTTAAATGACGCTAAAGCTGGCCTAGAAAATAACACTCGAAACGTGATTGGATGCTTCTGAGTCTTTTCTCTTTATCAGTTTTTCAAATGAAACATAAACATAAAAAAAAACAATCTTTTACTATGCAACAGTTGACAACGTTTACTCTATGTCGATTGAGCTGTTAGTTAGGGTTGAGTAACAGTGTTGTTCAATTTTTTTTGTAGAATGCTAAAACAAAGCCTCTGTTTTGTCATACAAAGTTATAAAATTTCTTCAAGAAGTGAAAACCACAATCGAGAAACGTTGAATCCGCGACTGTGTAACGTAGCAGACTAACAGTTTGGACCATACTTAGTGACATATCTTGAATAGCGTAAAATAACTAAAGTCAGGGAAGATGAGCTGACGCGAAAATTCATAAAATTATACAATGAATTCCGAACTTCCAACAAAATAATAATAAAAATTATTCACTAAAATTCAATATAACGATGATGAATTTTAAAACCCGTTTACCGTGTCTTACGAATCCTGCCAAAATTCATATGATTACAAACCAAAAAATTTAAATCTGAGACATTCAATATTTTGATACGGCATAACTTGTTTCATGCATTTAATCGGCAATTAAATTCTGCCTAATCTCAGTTTACTTTTTTTTCTCAGAAAACCTTAACGTCTCAGAGGAGCTGGGCATGTCCTAGTGGTTATCATGCCAGACTATGGATCTGAAGTTTTATTGGTTTGCGTTCCATTAAGAAAATATGTATTAGGTCGTCAAGAAATTAATGTTGCTTTTTTTAGATAAAAAAATACCCGAAAAACTTATGTATCAAAACAAAACATTTATTAAATTAGATAGTCTCCATTTTTATCGATGATGCTTTTCCATCTTACAATCACTTGGTTTTGAAGCAAAAAACATGTTGATGTCCTCTTTAACACCTTTCACATTTGCATACGTTTTCCCATTAAGATGGTGTTGCAGCGAGCGAAAAAGTTGGTAATCTGATGATGCCATATCTGAAGAATATGGTGAGTGGGGGAGAGCTTCCCAACTCAACTCCATAATCTTGTGTTGCGTCAAACGTACCACATGTGGACGTGCATTGTCGATGAGAAGAAGAACACCTTTCTGACTGACGAATGAAGGGCGTTTCTGATGAAGGGCTTGATTTAAACATTCCGGTTGCTGACCATAGATCTCTGCATTGACAGTTCGCTGTGGATTGAGGAGTTCGAAATGAATTACTCCTTTTATGTCCCACCAAATACAAAGCATCACTTTCTGTGGATGAAGTCCATGTTTTTGGGTCGGAAGTGGTTTTTGTCTATGAGTGAGCCATTGTTTTTGGCATTTAATATTCGCATACAGAATCCATTTTTCAGCATCGGTAACAATTCTGTCCAAAAATAGTTCACGCGCATTACACTCCAGAAGAGACGAAGCAACGTTCACATTTTGGAAACGACAATCATTGGAGAGTTCGTGAGGCACCCAAACACCATCTTTATGGAGCTTTCCTATATTCCTTAGATGTTTACCTATTGTTAACTATTGTGTTGCCTTGGATTAGACTCAACAAGTGTCTTCAGAGCATCAATATCAATTCCAATATGTCGGCCCCTGCCATCATAGTTCTTAAGGCTAAAGTCACCTGACCGAAATCTGCTAAACCATCGTTGACACTTACAAAAGTTCAAAACATTTCCATAAACTTCTTTGATATTCTTTGTGACTACAGGGCATTGTTTCCTTTATTGTATTCAAACAATGTGTGTCTCGTCGTGTGCCATCACAATAAGGGATTAAAGTATACTAAACTTTACACAATATATAGGCTACCCTAACGTGACATTTACGCGGTTCGTTTAACTATTATACGTGAAGTACGTTCTTTGTGGGATGGTTAATGAAAGTGTTCCAAAACGCGAGATTAATTTCTTGACGATCTAATATATATATAATCGCGATCTGCATTTTGTGGCCGTGGGTGCGTTATAAGGGTGACAGTATAATCCCACTATTTGGTTAAAATAAGAGTCGTCCAAAAATTGGCAATGAGTGCTGTTGACTAGCTGCCCTCTCTCTAGTCTAACAGTTCAAAATGACGGACGCCTAGAGTAACTTTACGCGAAATTCTGAAAAAAATTGTTGAAGTCACACTCCCTTATATATTTGTTCCTAGTGTAAAAATATATTGACTAATTTCAGTGAGATGTAGTGTGTAAAATAATACAGAAAACAAAAGTATAACAGAATAATCTCACGAGTTATAAGATTAGATTATATTGAACATTTCGCAGTAAAAACAATAGTCACTGTTATTTAGAATAACCTTTTACATTTCTTCCTTTTTGTGGAAGCTTAATGAGATCTTTACTTTGGTTATGTTATGATATATTAAGGCATTAAAGTACAAATGTTTTCTTTCTTTTCAGGAGTCGGGTGTAATATAGCTGGTTTTCTAACAGTATTTGCCAGTGAGCTGTCTATATTCACCCTCACGGTCATCACCCTGGAGAGATGGTATGCCATCACTTATGCTATCCATTTAAACAAACGTTTAAAACTGGGAACAGCCAAGAAGATTATGGTATGTGGGTGGATATATGCCATCACCATGGCAACCTTCCCGATAGTAGGTATCAGTGGCTACACAAAGACGAGTATCTGCTTACCCATGGAGAACAAAGATGCCGATGATCTAGCATATTTGATAACACTACTCTCTATAAATGGTTTGGCATTTCTACTCATTTGTGCTTGTTACGCCAAAATGTATCTGTCAATTACTCGTCAGCAGTCGAAAGCAACAACTAATGATACCACTGTTGCAAAAAGAATGGCAATGTTAGTATTTACTGATTTTGCATGCTGGGCACCTATAGCTTTCTTTGGTCTTACTGCAGTTGCAGGGTACCCTCTCATTAATGTTACCAATTCAAAGATTCTCTTAGTGTTCTTTTACCCTCTGAATTCCTGTGCCAATCCTTTTCTTTACGCCATCTTGACCAAGCAGTATCGACGCGACTTTTTTATACTTATCAGTCGCTATGGATTTTGCACTAAACGAGCAATGAAATACAAAAGAACCTATTCTTGTAACACCCACAATCGACGAACCTCGTCTAGACTTCACCACCGAGGATCCCTTCTCACCCAAGTATCTTTTGAAAATGCTCGAAACAAAATCAAACATAATCTGGACTACGACGACAGAATAAAGAGCATTTCTTCAACTATCGATGTTATGCCCGACTTTAATCCAAATTATCAAAATGTTCGGCCAGAAGGAAATGCTCGAAAGGTCAGGAAACTTAGTATTGTATGTGAGGGTGGGTTTCTGTCTTCTGATGACGAAGAAAGTAGCAGTCCAATGCACAAAGGATCTCCTCACCCAATTAAGAACAGCTACACCAAACTGAATATTTCATCCTTAGAACAAGAAGAGATCTTGAGACGTGCTTTGGGAGAAGATGTGGGGAGCCTTCAACGAAAGGCTTCTCCCGATGCTGAGATGCTACTCTGGTGTAGTCCAAGTTCCTCATCCCAGGCTGACATAAATGGATACTCAAAAAGTTCTCAACGTACCATTGACACCGAAATGTAGTACTCCTCCTCTGGGTTCTGTACTCCCAACGTCCATTATTAATACATTGTTGTGGAATATTGTAATAGCCCGTTCCATGGTGCAGTTGTAGACTTTAAACTTATTATAAACATACATACTGATCTTGCAAAGTTAAAGAATGGTCTTATAATATGATGGATTAAAATGTCCTTATACCATGAGGAGCAAAGAATATGTACCCATGGTGTTACTGGCAGAAGACTTTATTATGATTGTATTGTCACTACTGTTTATCATAGAAAAGCTGAATATACCAGAAAGATCGAATAAAGTAGAGACATTTTCGAACAGAGGGTTATATGATTATAATATACCTCGATGTCTTTATTATATGCAGTTGTATTTTATTCCAAAACAATGAGATATAAAGTGGCGTGAGAAAGTAGCATAGCTGTCTGAATGCTTGAAGCGTTTGAAACTAGATATGTTTAACAACAAAACAAGAAAATCCAAAATTGTATGATCTCGTCAGCTTTAAATGATGAATCCAACTGTGTTTTTCTAGGGTGATGATTCGTTGGTGTTGTAAGATTTCTTCATAAGACTAATGCATAACAAAAAAATCTTAAAACAAAATGGTGTAACATTATGGTCCTAATAGCGCTTTATGTAATAAGATGCTATTTTAATACGGAAACATTTCTAATCACTTGAAACTGTTACAGATGGTGTTCTATTGTCTTGTTATGATGCAACAAAGTTATAGGACTCACATATATAAAATGGTGTAATGTTTAAAGTGAATATATAGTCGAGTTATGTTTACAAGTAACATTATGATACTTGCAGTTTCTCTAAAGACGGTGCCACGTGCTTGATTTGTTTTCTTTGCAACGATGACGTATTATTATGAATAATATGTTATGTTGCGTTAAGATATCCTGCCGGCGTGCGTGTTTATGAAACTGTAACGAAAACAATTGATGGGATTTGTTGAAAGGGCTTTCAACAGCGACGTTTGGTAAAAAGGCTGAATATATAAAACTGTTAAATTGTTTTTTTACTCTTGGATTGTATTGAGCGTCACATGACGAAGCTTTAAGTGTGGGTAGATGATCTCATCAATTATTATGTGGGGTGGCGAATTCATTTGTAGCATCATCGTATTATTAAAATAAGTTTGTAAATTTCTTGCTAATAAAACACCGAATGTTTTTATTATTAAGCTTTATTATGGACTTTTGATTCTATCAGAAGTAGATTATTTGAGGTTATGCCGTAGTAACGGACGCGTAGGGAAAGCATTCGATACGGTATCCTGGCAACACAATTGTCTGACTAGGCATCCTTGTAGCGAAGCAGTATGATAGAATATCAGAGTTTAAAAACAAGTGCTTGGTCAGATGTCTTGCTAACAAAATAATACTTTCGGTTACTCTAGTTAGGAATTAATATTGTGGCAGATACTGTAGCATATAGTAATGTATGATCGGACATCCTAGTAGCTCACGATGGTAAAACAAAAATCTAAATAACGGAAATGCATTGTGAGATTTACAGCAACATGAATACGTCTCAACAACCTGACATTTCGCATGATACCCCTTTGGAATACGGGTTTTCAAAAAGCATGTTTAAGGATTATGTTGTTTCACTATCAAATGCTTCTTTCATGCATAGTGTACTCTTACACTGTATGTTCTAGTAACTTGTTGAGTGCCAACATTAGGGCCCCCCACTGGTATGTCTGCGAAGTTACTAAAGCTAGAAACCGGGTTTCAATACCTGTGGTGGGTAGAACATAGATAGCCCATTGTATAGCTTTGCGCTTAACTACAAACAAACAAAAGCCAAGATTATATAATAATGTACATCACGATGCTGCTCGTTGGTTAGACAGAATATTTAGTAAGAAAAGATTTGGCTAAAGTGGCTTCCCAAGAACACTCTATCAGGATATTATGTTGTATAAAATTTCAACAATTGGAAAGCCCTAAAGTTAAGGATTTATAGAACTGCATCCATTAAACTTATATATTCACTTCCGATGAGATATGTATATTATAGTTTGTTTTTGAGCTGAAATAAAGACGACACGCATTGGTGAGTGTCAGAAACTGATTTTCTCTAACATCGTGTCTTCAATGAGAAAGTTTCAATATTTCTTGTCCTGAAAATATTATTAATCAATATATATGAACATTTCTTCAGGGCTTCAATATGTGGATTAAAAGCGATATTTTTGTTATCATGGTAATGGCTCTCCAGTGCTCAATCAAAGTGTGATTTACAGTTTTATACGTCATGTTAACCTTTCTTGTCCTACTAAGTATGGTAGTCCTAATCAAAGATCTCGCATTTGAATTGTTCAAGTTCGTCTTAATGTTTTTGATTTTTTCAGCTTTATGTGTGAATAAAAGAAAATATTTATCTATATGACACATACTTTGGTCTGGTTTAACTTATTTTACGTTCCACGTACAGTTTAAAATATTTATCTATATGACACATACTTTAGTCTGGTTTAACTTATTTTACGTTCCACGTACAGTTTAAAATATTTATCTATATGACACATACTTTAGTCTGGTTTAACTTATTTTACGTTCCACGTACAGTTTAAAATATTTATCTATATGACACATACTTTAGTCTGGTTTAACTTATTTTACGTTCCACGTACAGTTTGTAGCACTGGTTAATTGACAAGTGAGGTACTTCGTATTAGTAACTATATGAACTTTACATAATACAACATAGAAAAATTTAGAAAACGTTATCTTATGCACGTTTATTTATTTATTCAAAGTTGTATGATAAAACCTAGTTCATATAACTTCGAAAACATTTCATGCTTGTAACATCTAACACACATAAGTTCATGAATAAAAACTGAAAGTGTGGTCTTAAATCAAAGAGAAACAAGATAAGTAAAACAAAGAGACGAGGTAAAATTAAAACACCATGTTACTGAAAGTGGACAAATACGTATCATTCTGCGTTCTAGTTGAACATAAAATACTGGAAATGGTCCTTAATACAGTGCCATTGTGAATAAATCTCATTTTATATTTTTACGTATTTAGAATGAAATTACGAACTTCTTTGATCTGATACTTTAGTGCACAAACGAATGCTCTTGTTTGGACTGGTCCAAGATGGACAGTGGTTGATTGTGAAATGAAGTCAATGTGAATTTAGATTACTGACGACCATAATAATAGCCGTGTACGTAATACTAAGAAAAAGGAACTACTTTCGGTGGTTCCTTAGTCATAGTCTGAGTCCCATAATTTGCCTAAATGATATTGACTTCAGAATCAGCTACTGTTCGTTTTGGGTCTGTCCAAACAAGAGCATTCATTTATGCGCCAAATCATTAAAAAGTTCGTGGTTTTCAAGAGTTATTAATTCAGAAGTTTAACACTAGTAAATGTCATCGTCAGTAACCTATACGATTACCTAAAGCCTAATTATTAAAAAGTTCCTACTAGATACTAATTACTAACCACCTTATAGGCTGCATCTCGGGTGATAATATTATGCCGTCTTCAATAAAGTTCTGAGAAGAACTGGATTTGTTGTGGTAGTGGATTTCATCCCGGATCTTCTTGAAGATGTGTTATACACTCCTTTCTCTCTCTATTTTTGATGTTTTATATCTTTTTAGTTCCCAACAAAACGTACAATGAGTTTAAAAGTTGCATCAACTTCATAATTATTATTATTATTATTTTTGGAAACAGTAAATATCAAGGTTAAATTTCACGTTAAGCATCCTAAGATTAGTAAGGTGTTGAAAAAGTGTCAACTGGAATTGCCTTTAAAGGATTTTTTTTTCAGTCTTTGCTATCAGCACGCAAAAATTTCTATTCTGGAATATTGCTTAATGAAAGTTATGAAATTTAGTGAAAACTTGCGACATCTACAGGAGATAAACTGCAACTGAGGCAAAAATAATCTTCAATGATAATGAGCAGCTAAACAACTCATAACACCAAACTCTTAGCAAATAAATTATCAACAAGTTTACAAGTTAATCAAATATCCTTAATCTGTGGTAAACTGGTACCTTTCACACAGGATCTGTAGTTCAGTTGGGTTTAATGTCATTATAACAGGGTATATGGAAGAAACGTGTTACGTATTAGATTTTCAAATAACCTGAAATTGTGTTAAATGATACTTTGGATTTAGCCGTTAAATAAAAGCCGATATACAGTCAGTTTATGATATTTGCCAACAAGATTGATACACACAATTTTCTTTTATACAAATATGTTTTAATATACAAACAATAATACAATTTACAATAACAGTTATTACAAATAGTTATTACAAACAATGATTTATATACAAAATTTTCACAAACTTATAAGCAATATAAAGTCTTCTTTCTAGTCTGGAACTTCTTCGATATTTGCCCCTAGTGGCACAGCGGTATGTCTGCGGACTTACAACGCTAGAAACCGGGTTTCCATACCCATGGTGGGCAGAGCACAGGTAGCCCATTGTGTAGCTTTGTGCGTAAATTCAAACAAACAAACAAATCTTCAATATTTTATCGAGGGTTCATGATGAGCGAGATAATTACGAGTTAGCATGGGTATAATTCACTTAACAGGGAGCTAGCTAGCTTTATCCTTCGTTATTCACCAGCCACACACGCCGAGTTTTCCATGGTGAATTTATATAATATTTTCTTAAAAATACTAATGTCGATGAGAATCCACCGAAGTTAAATAATTTTCCGATTGATAAGCGTTATAACAATCACATTTATAGTTTCCAAAGTTTATAGCACACTAATAATAAATGGTCCTTTTTTTGGCGCGGCGCGTTGGTTATATTTATAGGCGTGTGGAGGTTTTGTAAAAAATTCAGATTACATAACAATACAAAGCTACATTTAAGCGTTTACGTACATACATATATTGTTGATTCTTATTCTCGAGAATCTTTTACAACTTTGAGGAATAGGCAGAAGTTTCACGATACATATTTAACAGTATAAGCTATGTATGTTTCTAAATATAAATTTAATCTAAACAATCGTCGATATTAAAATAAATATATAATAACAAATTCGTTACAAATGCCATGTGTGATGATGCTCCAACTGTCTTCCTTTACCCACGTTCCATGTTACTGATGAACTTTCTAGGGACCAACCTTGATAGCAGCAGCATATAATTTACCAAAAGCTTAAGTAGAAAAGTTTAGACACTA